ATACCCAAAAAGAAAGAAAAAGCAACCATGGTGACATTACACATCCCTCTCTAAGACCTACTTTTACTAGGAAGTAGTATAAAAAAATTTGGTGGTATTTTTGTAGGGAAGTTTTCATTGCATTTATGGATTTAGAAAAGGGATATGATAGAGTGCATAGGGAAGCAATGTGGCAGATGTTGCAAGTATATGGAATAGGTAGTAAGTTACTAAATGCTATAAAGAGTTTTTATGAGGATAATGAGGCTCAGGTTAGTGTGTGTAGAAGAGAGGGAGACTACTTCCCAATAAAAGTAGGTCTTAGACAGGGATGTGTAATGTCACCATGGTTGTTTAATATATTTATAGATGGGGTTGTAAGAGAAGTAAATGCTAGGGTGTTCGGGAGAGAGGTGGAATTAAATTATAGGGAATCAAATACAAAATGAGAATTGACACAGTTACTTTTTACTGATGATACTATGCTTCTGGGAGATTTTAAAGAAAAGTTGCAAAGGTTAATGGACGAGTTTGGGAGAGTGTGTAAAGGTAGAAAGTTGAAAGTGAACATAGAAAAGAGTAAGATGATGAGAGTATCAGATGATTTAGATAAAGAAAAATTGGATATCAAACTGGGGAGGAGGAGTATGGAAGAAGTGAATGTTTTTAGATATTTGGGAGTTGACGTTTCAGCAGATGGATTTATGAAGGATGAGGTTAACCATAGAATTGATGAAGGAAAAAAAGTGAGTGGTGCATTGAGGTATATGTGGAGACAAAAAACATTATCTTTGGAGGCAAAGAAGGGAATGTATGAAAGTATAGTGGTACCAACACTCTTATATGGGTGTGAAGCTTGGGTTGTAAATGCTGCAGCGAGGAGGCGGTTGGAGGCGGTGATGTCCTGTCTAAGGGCAATATATGCAGAGAATTCGGAGTGTGGAAATTAGGAGAAGGTGTGGAGTTAATAAAAGTATTAGAGGGCTGAAGAGGGGTTGTTGAGGTTGTTTGGTCATTTAGAGAGAATGGATCAAAGTAGAATGACATGGAGAGCGTATAAATCTGTAGGGTAAGGAAGGAGGGGTAGGGGTCGTCCTCGAAAAGGTTGGAGGGAGGTTTTGTGGGCGAGGGGTTTGGACTTCCACCAAGCATGCGTGAACGTGTTATATAGGAGTGAATGAAGATGAATGGCATTTGGGACCTGATGAGCTATTGGAGTGTGAGCAGGGTAATATTTAGTGAAGGGATTCAGGGAAACCAGTTATTTTTATATAGCCAGACTTGAGTACTGGAAATGGGAAGTACAATGACTGCACTTTAAAGGGAGGGTTGGGATATTGGCAGTTTGGAGGGATGTGTTGTGTATCTTTATACGTATATGCTTCTAAACTGTTGTATTCTGAGCACCTCTGCAAAAACAGTGATTATGTGTGAGTGAGGTGAAAGTGTTGAATGATGATGAAAGTATTTTCTTTTTGGGGATTTTCTTTCTTTTTGGGTCACCCTGCCTCGGTGGGAGACGGCCGACTTGTTAAAAAAAAAAAATACATACATACATCAATGAAAAAATTAAAATGGCTCATATGAACTTTGGAATTACTTTTTTAATAAGTAGAAACAATTATGTTTCTGTATCTGACATATAGTTTTCCTTAAATATTATTGGATAAGAAAAAAAGTAGAAATATAAGATTTTTTGTTACGGGAAATTATATTGACTTAGTTATCTCACTGGAGACAAAAGTATTCAAAAGATATAATTTTTGCATTAAAGTAGTCATGTGTGGTGTAAATATTATGCAGAGAATTCTTAGTGTGGAAATTAGGAGGATTTGTGGAGTTACTAAAAGTATTATTCAGAGGGCTGAAGAGGTGTTGTTGAGGTGGTTTGGTCATTTAGAGAGGATGGAGCAAAATAGGATGACTTGGAGGGCGTATAAATCTGTAGCGGAGGGAAGGAAGGGTAGGGGTCGCCCTAGAAAAGGATGGAGGGAGGGGGTGAAAGAGGTTTTGTGTGCAAGTGGCTGGACATGCAGCAGGCATGTGTGTGTTAGATAGGAGTGAATGGAAACGAATGGTTTTTGGGACTTGACAAGCTTTCGGAGTGTGAGCAGAGTAATATTTTGTGAAGGGATTCAGGGAAACCAGTTAGCCAGACTTGAATCCTGGAGGTGGGAAGTACATTGCCTGCACTTTAAAGGAGGGGTCTGGGATATTGGCTGTTTGGAGTGACATCTGATATGTCATATCTGGGCGCCTTTGCAAGGAGAGTGATTATGTGTGAATTCTGGCAAAAGTGTTGAATGATGGTGAAAGTTTTTTTTCATTTTTGGGTCACCCTGCCTTAGTAGGAGACGGCCAATGTGTTAAAAAAAATATACTTATAAACTAGGGAATTTTTTTTACACAATTCAGTCTACAAATCCATTTACCTTGAATTATAAAAACAATAATTTACTTGTACAGTGGTACCTTGACTTACGAGTAATTTGTTCTGTGACTGAGCTTGTAACTCAATTTGTTTGTATATCAAATCAATTTTCCTCATTGAAATTAATTAAAATGCCATTAATCTGTTCCAGCGGAATTCCTGGCTCTCAGAAGGCAGGAGAAAATACTTCAATATAATGCTGATATCAACTCTACAGCTTATTTATCTATCACAATTGATCTAATATGACATAATAAACAATATAAATAGCAGGAACATAATATATACTATAGAATGAATAAAATATGTCATTGTGACGAGTGGTGGCGGCCACTACCGAGGTAAAAATAATTATTGTTCTGACCATATCTTCCCATTCTTGCCCTTCTGAGGTCTTATTATAAGAGAAAACAGACTGTTTGTGAGGCTAACCGCACTAAATCACTAGTTTCATAAGGAAGACACTGAAATAAAAGCGATTTTCTTGTGTTTTTTTATGATTTCATGCTTTAATTCAATGGACATCATCCTCCTCTTCATCTCAGTACTGTACTTTGCACTTACTTTCTTAGGACCCATGGTTAAAAAAAAAAAATTTGACAAAATAACTGCACAAAAAGCACAGCACGCTGGGATGTTCTGCAGATGTTGTGGCATTTGCTGCGCCAACTAGTGGCGGCGTATCTGAAGCTCGCTTGTAATTCGGATTTTGGCTCACAAAGCAAAAAATCAACCGAGTGATGGCTCATAACTCGGAAAACTCGTAAGTTGAGGTACTTGTAAGACAAGGTACCACTGTATAGCTTTTATAATATATACTGTATCAGGTCCATCCTTGTCTACAGTGTTATCTATGAAGAAATTACATAAAATATAATGTGGCTTTTTATATAGTATTGTCATCATTCTTCCATCTAATGAGAATAAATTTGCTGTTTATTTCACTATTTTAAATGCAACAGACTTTATATCGGTTATTTTTAAGTTATAGTACTGTTCAAATCTTATGATTTTTTACTGTTCTTTGCTGAATTTATGGGCTACCTCAGCTTATTACCAAATCCAGCCCTTTCTAAGGAATACTACCACTCCCTACCATGCCACCCACAATAGTTGGCTAGCACCTATGTACCTATTTACTGCTAGATGAACAGCAACAATGGATGTAAGGAAATAAGTGCAAATGTCTCCCCCTACCACAGGAATGAACCTGAGTCTTTGGGTTGTGAGTTGAAATCACTACCTTTGAGCTACAAACCACCTAAAGGTATAAACCATAAATATGGACGAGATATGTGTGGTCTTGGAATTAAAAAAAAAAAAAAAAGAGCTTAGTAAGTCTTCCCTGTAAAGTACATAGTAAATGCTGAATAACTAGAGCCTCACCCAGTAGGTGAAGAATGAGGGAACAGGACGGTAAGCAAGTTTGCTTGCTTTTAAATTATAACTCATTTCCAGGGAGATGTAACATCATTTAAGAGTGAGGAAGAGCGAGATGTGAGTGTAGTGGAGGTGTGTGAGGCGTTGGGTAAAATGAAAGGGGGAAAGTAACTTGGATTGATGGGATCATGACAGAAATGTTAACACCAGGTGGGGATATAGTTTTGAAGTGGTTGGTACTTTTGTTCATTGAATTGTTCATTGAATATATAAAAGAAGGGAAGGTACCTAGAGACCTGGCAGAGAGCATGCATATTTCCTTTATATAAAGGGAGGGGACAGAAGAGGGTGTAAAAATTACAGGGGAATAAACCTACTGAATATACCAGGTAAAGTGTATGGTAGGGTTATTATGGAAAGAATTAAGGGTAAGATGGAGAGCAGGATCGTAGATGAACAAGGCTTTAGAAAGGGTATGGGATGTGTAGTCCAAGTATTTACATTGAAGCATGTAAGTGAACATTATTTAGATAAGGGCAGGAAAGTTTTTGTTGCTTTTATGCTTATTTTAATTTTGGCTTATTTTCAGCATTTATCCATTTATATATTTAAAAGGTAGCATATGTAGGTCTCACAATATCAGTTATATGATCTGGTGCTGGCCTAGTTTTCAAGTATGTTTCCTCAGTGAAAGGGAACTGAGAGAATGAGTGTTTCCCTTGTCACATACTTTCATTGATTTTAAGGGTGACTTCAGATCTAGGACACACACATTTCACAAACTGACTGAGAACTACATTTCTTACACTTTTTTATTTTTTGGTGCACTGGCCATCTCCCACCAAGGCAGGGTGACCTAAAAAGAAAAAGTTTTTCCTTTTAGGTCACCCTTAGTAATTTATACAGAAGGGATTATTAGCCCCTTGCTTTTGGCATTCTAGTTGCCTCTTACATCATGCATGCCTTATAGAGGAAGAATTCTTTTCCACTTTCCCATGGAGATTTCTTAGACATATGATTATGAAAACAAAACAGAAACAAAAAACTGCATATAAATATGCCGAAAATAATTTCATGATGTTGACGGGCGACTGATGAAATATGGGTTACATTATATCAATGAACATTTCAGTATGATAGTTTTACATTTAATTTTTGCATTCATTTGCTTATATAGTACTGTATAAATATTAATTTTGTATTTTTGCAGGATGTATGTGAAAACAATTTTGAAGAACTTGAGAAGAAATGGCAGTTTGATTTTGTTGGAAATGAGTGACACATTACTGGTATACAAAGACTTGGTAATGTGCAAATATAGCAAATAAGTGAGTATTTTTTTTGTTTTTTTTAGGAATCTAAGCTTACCATACTAAGTAAAAACAATAAGTCAAACTCACTGAAAAAGGAAGTTACAAATATGACACAAATTTCAGAGTGTAATTTACATACAGTACCTTGGTTAGAAACATTTTGAATGTTGTGATAGTTTATAGTATAAAGGAAGGCATACCAGTGTAATGACTAACTTCTCCACATTTTAAATGAAGAGACAAAAACTGAGGGCCTTTTTTATACATTGATCTGGGCAGTTTAATGCCTAATATTTCTTTACTTGTATGGCCGATGTCATTATTCTGCCATTTCAGTTTATTTTACGTTGACAGACATTGCCTTTTTTAAAAATTATGAAACCAAAGTTTCTGCTGCAGAACTGTAGAAATAACAGTTATTTGCTGTTATGATCATTTGCTTGACATACATGTAGATTTAAAAAATGTCTGTTGAGGTTTGTGCTCTGATAGTTTGATTTTTTTTTGTCTTATGACCTGTAGGTTAAAACAGGTCATGCTTTCTAGGAAGCACTTTAAACTGTAAGTCTAATATATTTCTATGTACAAAACTTCAGTTTGGTTGTTGTAGAATTGCTAATATTGCTGACGTTTTTTATAATGTTCAAATACTTGTATTATGAATAGGTCAAAATGTTTGCAACAGTCCATCAGTAAACGTTTTCTTGCGCAACTCAAAAATCTAAAATATTGACTGACTGTCAGTTATAGATTCAGCTTAATGAGTTAACAGAATTATCTTGTCAGCTTTGACTGGCATACTAATCCAACATGCCTACTGATTTAAGGTATGCTTACTGTATTCTGATATTTAGTGACTTCATGAGCATGTAGGAAAAGACAGTTGTATATATACATTTCCTAAAGTGAATGATTTAAATGTTCTGATATGAATATGTTCAGTACATTGTCACATCAGCGAAAGAAATCTTGCAGTAGTTAAAGTTAGGTTCACTTTTCTTAGTTTTGCAATGTGGTTTTGTGCAATTTAGAATACAGTATTTGGAGGACACTTTAGGTCTTAAACATGTGCTTTGTTAAAAACAGTTAAGACAGTTAAGTATCTTACCTTTGAATTAATTATAAATAGTTCATTTAGGTTTATATTAAGAATCTGCTATCAGTATTCAATTAAATTAGATATTTTAAAATTTGATGAAAAAACTATCAGAGAATATTTGTCTGCTGGAGTCCTTTCTTCTTTTTTCTCGCACCCTAAAACTCTTTAGATTTTTTCTTATCCGTATTACAAAAATTAATAGTCTCCATTAACTTCCTTGATTTCTCTAAAACTATTATTTATAAGTCGAGTGTCTTCTTTATTTAATGCAATGTTTTGTCTGCAAGTGCTCACAGTTATACTGGAAATACAGTCAGCATTTGTTTCCTATTCATTCACTTCTTTGCTCTTTATGTATGTGTACTCACCTATTTGTGGTTGCAGGGGTCAGTTCTCAGATCCTGGACCCACCTTTTAATTTGCTACTCCCTCAGATTCACTCCCTTTTAGCCTTATGGGACCTAACATATGTGCTCTTAAAACTATGTATGAAGCCTGCCTCCACCACTTCCTCACCAAAATCATTCCATTTCCCAACCACTCTCGACACCCCTGTGGCTCATCTGTACATTTATCTTCGAATGATATTTCCCAGTTCCCATTCCTTGCCTCTCAGACAGTCTATCTCTGTCTGCCTTATGAATTCCCTTGAGTATTTATATTTTATCATGTGACCTCTCTTGTTCTTCTGTCCTCCAGTTTCATTAGGTTCAAATCCATTAGCCTCTCATAGCTCATGCCCTTGAACTGAGGAACACTTTGTTGCATACTTCTTTTTAGAAAACATGCTTTTTCAGCTACAGGTTCCATACTGGTTCTATATACAAGATGGTCCTGACGTATGTTGTATAAAGGGGTCGAGGATGGCTGTTTGTAGGGATTCTTGAAAGCTACTCATAGATTTGCCAGAAGGGCATTGGCTGCAGAAGTTGATTGGCTGATGTGAGCCTCTGGTGGTAAACTGCGCATTATGCTCTCTCCTAGGTCTTTCTGTTTGAGTGAAGTCTTCAGCCTGTCCCCATAGTCTGTACCCATTTCCAGTTTTGCTCAAGCAGCCACTTATCTGAACTCACTCACAGTGTTTCCAGATCCCTATGGAACATTTCCTTATCCTCATCTGTTTTTATTGTCCTCATTAGTGTTACATTATTAGCAAACAAGGATATATCTGAATCAATCTCATCTGGAATGTCATTCATGTAAACCAGAAATAGTACTGGCCCTAGTAATGATCCCTGCAGAACCCACTAGTTACTCTTCTCCATTCTGATGGTTCTTTCCTGACAATCACTTTGCTTCCTTATTCTAAGATACTTTTTGATGCACCGGAGTACATTCCCTGATGTCCCTGCCTGAATCTCAAGTTTTTGGCCCAGCCTATTGTTGGGTACAGTATGAGATCCCTTCTTGTAGTTTCAAAACAATTCAGTCCACCAAATCCTTTCTTTTTGCATATTTGTTGCTTTATCATAGAACTCCAGCAAGTTAGTAAAACAAGATTTGTCATCCCTAAACCCATGCTGGTTATTGTTAATGAAACCATTTCTCTCCAAGTGTTTTACCATTCTCCACCTGATGAGTTTATTACTTTGCAAGGTATGCCTGTCAGAGAAACAGGTCTGTAGTTAAATGCCTCCTGTCTGCTTTCTTAAATATAGGGACTACATTTACTTTTTTCCAGATCTTTGATAACTGTCCTGTTTCCGTTGACTTATTGTAGATCATAGCTAGTGGTTTAGATAGTGTTTCTGCACCCTTTTACAGAATTCATGATGATGCATTGTCAGGTACCATTGCCTTAGATATATCCAGGTCCATCAAAAATTTCTTTACCTCTTCCCTTGTTGTGTGGATGGCATCCAGTACTTGTTGGTGCCCTCCTGTTCTTTAGTCTCTCTGGTATTGCCTTAGTTTTCTCCTTTCTCTCAGTTGAATTATTTGGTCCTTTACTGTTGTCTTTTTTCTGATGTGGCTATGAAGTAGTTTCAGTTCAGACTTGGCCTTTGCTGGTATGTCATTCTCATATTATCTCTCAACCTCTTTCTTCACTCTAGCATATTCATTTCTGGCCAATCTGCTTACTTCTTTGTTCTTGTTTCATCCTTTTCTCTCTGTATTTTTTCCACTTTTTTATACTTTTCTTTTTTGCCTCCCTGCATCTCTGGTCGAACCAAGGGCCCTTTGCCTTTGTTGTGTCTGTATCTATTTCTTGGTATGAAGATCTCGGCTTCCCTGCATTTTCCAGCCAGGTACTCCAACTCGTCCACTGACCTGCCTTCCAAGTTGCTGTCCCAATCCACTACATTCTCTCAGCCTCTCAAAATTCACATTTCTAGTCTGGCTTTTCATGCTTTCTACCTGTGTATCCCACTGCTTGTAGTTCTTCATATGACCATATTTGATGATCCTTCCACTTTCTCATTATAATACATTTGAACACATCATGAAATATTACTCATATCTGTAGGCAGGCTTTTTTTTTTTATTAACACATCGGCCGATTAGTACAATAAAATATTCCCAGGTAAAACTAGTTATCTTATACAAATGGAAAACTATGTTTATTTTGAATCCCACTAAAACCTACTAGACTTCCAGGGAAGTGAATCTTATAGTGGCCAGTTAATGGCAGTTATAAAATACCAGAAAGGATCTATTACTGACCAGACATGCTACATAATAGGTGAGTAAATCATCCTGGCTGTAATCCTGATGGCGTCTTGTTTTTAATATCCCAGATGACTGCTGAATTTGCGCGTAAATGTGCGAGTATATTACATTATTCTTATTTGTCAGTCTGCATGTTGGATAGGAAGCTGCAGATTCATATAAATATTTAGACTAATGAGTCCCCCAGATGGTTACTTAGTATTACCAAGGCTTAATGGCAATTAGTTTTAAACATTCACAGAAGTATTCTGGTGCTAAGTTACCATGTTCTTCACATGCCCTCTTCACATTTAAACATTCCACACATGCACACACACTTCACATCATAAAACAGACTTTTTGCTATTGATTGTGTTATTAAGAGCTTGCGGTAATCATTTCTGACTGTTTATATTTCACCCAGAAAGGTTGATTTAAGTCAGACTAAGTGTTTTGTTCAAGTCTTTTCTGACTTTGACTTGGCTAATCATGCTTGAGTATTAGCCCATAGAATAAAAAATGCTTTGATTTAGTAAAGAAATAATGAACTCATCTAAGAACATCTATATTAGAATGTCCTGGTTTTTATAATTTATCTATTTATATATTTTTGTTAAATAGTTATAAGTTACTGAAGATATTTTATCCTTCTTAGTTACTTATCATATACATTCTTAGCAATTTGACATCATCTGTACAGTATTAGACATATATGCTTGTCCCCAGAAAAAAAAAAGTTCCAAAAAAGTTGTGCTATAGCTCAGCACCTTGAGACAATCTGCTTGACATACTTATAGCCAGGTCTGAGTTCTGCTCTCAAAGCCTGGCCTAAGGTTAGATGTCATTGTTGACTTCCTAGTCAACCTGACTGTTGCTGCCAGCAGTCTGCTTGTGTAGTTACAGAGAAGTCCATAAAAACAATTCTGAGAATTTGTTTTATTTTTACACTCATAGAGGTGCAGTTTCCTATTCAAATGGGCATCAGCATGATATCTGTCAAATACATGCAAAGTGTAAAGCTTATTTATATTTTTAAGAATGTCAACTCCCTGGTCAGTATGCGAAAAGTGCAACATAAAAGACACAATACACTGAATAGGTCTGGGGATGAGCTTTTAATTCAGCTACAGTATACAAGAAGCTTTCTTAGCAAGGCTTCATGTAATGATGTGTCACATTACTTTGTATATATATATGTGTGTGTATGTATATACAGTAATAACTGTAGACATGCATTAATACATACATCTTCAGATATACACATTTATTAACATTTATACTTAATGAAATTAACAGTTTATGGTATTGTTAATGTTTTGTAAGAATTCATACTATGCATGAAAATGGAGAGAAATTGATAATATTAATAATGATGTAATAATTCTCATCATAATATACACAAATCAAAGATAATTTGTATGTATCTTGTAGATATACTGTCATGATTGAATAATTTTTGGGTGTTACCTTATTTTAAAGGTGAACATGACATGCCAATTTCAATTAGAGCCCTTTTCTTTATATATATATATATATTATATATTATATATATATTTCTCACTTTGTAATTTAAAACTGTCTAGCAATGCGAGAATATTCATGACCAAAGCATTATCTCTCTGCTAGATAAATAATGACTAAATGATCAAAATTGCAATGCAATAAATATCATTGCAGAAAGATAATGCCATGTTTGTCTTGAAGATTAATAATGTATTTAAAGTGTACCTAGCCTTCTCATCAGTTGATGATTTGACCAGTTGCTGGCTACTTGCATTCAATTCTTGTTCAACTTGCATTCAATTCTTGTTCAAGTGGTGAGCAAATGAACACACACATGTTCACACATCCATTAAAAAACACTTGTTTCCATTCACTTGTATTTAACATGCTCACACAAGTTTGTCTCCATTCACTCCTATCTAACATGTTTACACAAGTTTGTCACCATTTACTATCTCACATGGTCATACAGGTTTGTCTCCATTCACTCCTATCTAATGCTTACACAAGTTTATTAGATGCTGAAACCTCTTAACACTCAAAAGCCTCTTCTGGCCCTTCCTCCAGTCATTCCTGGGACAACCCCTACACCTACTACTTGGTACCCCAGATTTATATACTCTCTTAATCAACCTATACCTCTCCATCCTCTGCACCTGCACAAACTACTTCAACAATCCCTCTTCAGCCCTCTGAATTGTACCCTTGGGGATCTACATTGGCTCTTAATTACTATGCTCTAAGGTTTCTGCATGATATTTACACCACATAATTCTGTCAAACATGACATCTCCACTGCCTCTAACCTTCTGTTTGCTGCAACATTGAAAACCCATGCCTCACACCCATATGAAAGTGCTAGTACCACTATGGTACATTCCATTATTTACCTCCATAAATAAACTTTTTCTTTCCGGATACTTCAACACACCATGCTATGGTTCACCTCATCTTTCATTGACCGTCTGTTGACATGTCCACTCCCAAATATCTAAATTCATCTGCTTCCTCCATACTCCCTCCCCTCCCATCTGATATTCAGTCTACCGTTGCCTAGACTTTTTGTTCCTCTTATCACCTTGTTCTTTTCTACTTTTATTTTTAATTTTCCTCTTTTAATACTCTCCCAAATTCATCTACCAGCCTTGTAACTTGTCTTCAGAATCCACCTAAAAGAACTGTGTCATCAGCAAAGAGCAATTGGGATAACTCCCACTTTGTATCAGTTCCAGCATCTTTCAGTACCGCACCCCTTCCCTAGCATTCACAACCCTCCCCCCATCTATAAATATATGTATTAAACAATCATGGTGACATCATGCATCCCTGTCTAAACACTATTTTCACTGGGAAATAGTCCAATAGTCCCCCTTGGTGGGAGACAGCTGGTGTGTTGAAAAAAAATACAGCCTCTCCTCACTTAACGACGGAGTTCCATTCCTAAGACCACGTCAGTAAATGAATTCGCCGCTAAGTGAGGAGCATACTGTAATGGTAGTGGGTTTGTGTCAACCATCTTTGATATAGTTTTAATGTCACCTTTGCACCATTTCTAGCATTTCTGGTATATTTTTAAATGTTCATACAGTTTTTTTTTTTTCAACAAGTCGGCCGTCTCCCACCAAGGCAGGGTGACCCAAAAAGAAAGAAAATCTCCAAAACGAAAATACTTTCATAATCATTCAACACTTTCACCTCACTCACACATAATCACTGTTTTTGCAGAGGTGCTCAGAACACAACAGTTTAGAAGCATATACGTATAAAGATACACAACATATCCCTCCAAACTGCTAATATCCCAAAACTCCTCCTTTAGAGTGCAGGCATTGTACTTCCCATTTCCAGGACTCAAGTCCGGCTATATAAAAATAACCAGTTTCCCTGAATCCCTTCACTAAATATTACCCTGCTCACACTCCAACAGATTGTCAGGTCCCAAATACCATTCGTCTCCATTCACTCCTATCGAACATGCTCATGCACGCCTGCTGGAAGTCCAAGCCCCTCGCCCACAAAACCTCCCTTACCCCTTCCTTCCAACCTTTTTTGAGGACGACCCCTACCCCGCTTTCCTTCTCCTACAGATTTAAATGCTCTCCATGTCATTCTACTTTGATCCATTCTCTCTAAATGACCAAACCACCTCAACAACCCCTCTTCAGCCCTCTGACTAATACTTTTATTAACTCCACACCTTCTCCTAATTTCCACACTCCGAATTTTCTGCATAATATTTACACCACACATTGCCCTTAGACAGGACATCTCCACTGCCTCCAACTGCCTCCTCGCTGCTGCATTCACAACCCAAGTCACACCCATGTGAGAGTGTTGGTACTACTATACTTTCATACATTCCCTTCTTTGCCTCCATAGATAACGTTTTTTGACTCCACATATACCTCAACGCACCACTCACCTTTTTTCCTTCATCAATTCTATGATTAACCTCATCCTTCATAAATCCATCCGCCGACACATCAACTCCCAAGTAGTATCTGAAAACATTCACTTCTTCCATACTCCTCCTCCCCAATTTGATATCCAATTTTTCTTTATCTAAATCATTTGATACCCTCATCACCTTACTCTTTTCTATGTTCACTTTCACACCCTTTACTTCATCATCCCACCAATCACTCCTCTTTCCTCCTGCCCCACCCTCCTATAACCACAGACTTCTGCCCCACATTCTAATACTGCATTTTTAAAACTCATCCAACCCTCTTCAACCCCCCCTCTACTCATTTTTGCACTAGCCCACCTTTCTGCCAATAGTCGCTTATATCTCACCCGAACTTCCTCCTCCCTTAGTTTATACACTTTCACTTCCCTCCTACTTGTTGTTGCCACCTTCCTCTTGTCCCATCTACCTCTTACTCTAACTGTAGCTACATCTAAATAATGATCCGATATATCAGTTGCCTCTCTATAAACATGTACATCCTGGAGCCTGCCCATCAACCTTTTATCCACCAATACATAATCTAACAAACTACTTTCATTACGTGCTACATCATACCTTGTATATTTATTTATCCTCTTTTTCATAAAATATGTATTACTTATTACCAAATCTCTTTCTACACATAGCTCAATTAAAGGCTCCCCGTTTACATTTACCCCTGGCACCCCAAATTAACCTACTACTCCCTCCACAACATTTTTACCCACTTTAGCATTGAAATCCCCCCAACCACAAGTACTCTCACACTTGGTTCAAAACTCCCCACACATTCACTCAACATTTCCCAAAATCTCACTCTCTCCTCTTCACTTCTCTCTTCTCCAGGTGCATATACACTTACTATAACCCACTTTTCACATCCAACCTTTATTTTACTCCACATAATCCTTGAATTAATACATTTATAGTCCCTCTTTTCCTGCCATATCTTATCCTTCAACATTATTGCTACTCCTTCTTTAGCTCTAACTCTATTTGAAACCCCTGACCTAATCCCATTTATTCCTCTCCACTGAAACTCTCCCACCCCTTCAGCTTTGTTTCACTTAAAGTCAGGACATCCAGCTTCTTCTCATTCATAACATCCACAATCATCTCTTTCTTAACATCCACAATCATCTCTTTCTTATCATTTGCACAACATCTATGCACATTCAGACTTCCCACTTTGACAATTTTCTTCTTCTTATTCTTATACAGTTGTGTATTGTATATTGTAATAAACTGAATGGAGGAAATCAGCTCTAATATACGTTATTTAGGTATGTATACTGGTCAGAGAGCCCGTCATAAGTCCGAGTCGTTGGTAAATGAGTACATCGTTGAGGAGAGGCTGTATACTTTTTTTTCAACAAACCGGCCATATCTCATGAAGGTAGGGTGACCCAAAAAAGAAACACTTTCACCATCATTCACACATAATCACTGTTTTTGTAGCAGCATGCAGATATGACAGTTCAGATGTCACTTCAAACAGCCAATATCCCAAAACCCTCCTTTAAAGTGTAGGCATTGTACTTCCCACCTCCAGGGCTCAAGTCCTGCTAACCAGTTTCCCTGAATCCCTTCACAAAATATTACCCTGCTCACTCTCCAACAGCTATTAAGTCCCAAAAACCATTCATCTCCACTCACTCCTATCTATATTTAAACATGCTGGCCATCTCCCACCAAGGCAGCATCACTGTCTTGCCAGAGGCAAGCAGATGTGATAGTTTAGATGTACCTCTAAACAGCAAATATCCCTAACACATACATATATACATATTACTATTTAGTGCTGATACCATTGTTTTTGAAAATGATGAATGAATGAGATTATAAATTCTGCACACAGGTTGAACAAGACTTGAGCATGTAAGTTGCCATTTAGAGACCCAGATTGTATAGGTTTGTGAAATTTTATATTTTTGTATTTATGTCTTACCTGCTGCTAGTGGTTATAGGGAGAGATTTTTTTCAATAAATCACTTACTACTGGATGTAATTTTTCAATTTTGGGAGATTTTTCATGAGTTGTTTCATAAATATGTGTAAAGTATGTATTACAGGCTTTGTAGAACTTGTATTATTAGGTATGGAAAGCAATTATCATTTATCTTTGTAAATACCCTCATAAGGTTTGTGAATGCTTATAAAAAAAATATATTAATCAGTGTTAGACTCTATTGAATCATTAATAAGTTTGTAATATGCATACAGTTAATGAAAGAAGTTTTCATCCAGTAGCAAAAGATTTAAGATGTCTGTTGGGATTACATTCCCAGATTATTGCAGAATAAAAAAAAGTATATTATAGTGTACAGTATGCATAATGCAGTGAGACAATAGAAGACAGTTTGAAGATGATTTATCTGATGTATCAGAATATTTTATAATTTGATAAGGTATTAGCTGGTTATAAGCTTTTGGAAATTTTAATTTAAACTCTTGTCAAATGTATTTAAGTTGATAAATAATGGTCATAATTTGTGAGAGATATGAAGGTAGTGATGAGAGTCATTGTCTTCTGTAATCTCACTGATTAACTCTGTTTATCATCACCATGCTGTCAAGGAGATACTTTAAAAAATCACTGCCCATTTAAATCCATTGTGCATCATATATTAATGTTTGCCATGATGAATACCCTCTGTGTGTTTCATATTGGAATAGTTTGTATAATATTGTACAGTTGAGAGAATTTTATGTGACTCCAGTGCTACTCTACATAAATACTAACGAGCCCTATTGGTGTTTGCACTGGTGTTTTGAAGCAGCCATTATATGTTGAGAAGCTTCTCCTGCTTGAATGCACCATCTAAGAAGCTGCAAGTGATTCATGATGCTGCTGCTGCTATTTTCCTCAACATGAAGCATCACAGCTCTCAAAGATGTTCATGTCATCGTGAGAACATAGAAGATTTATAAATTCACTCTAGTTTTAGTTGACTTCAGAACATTTTCACTCATTTTTGTATTTTACAAAAATAACATCTTTTAAAACTTACTGGAATTTTAAAAGGTAATATTATCACAGATTTAAGAGTGAAACAGTTTTGAGTATTAGTTGAAAGTCCATAGTCTTTTCAAGTCAAGAATGGCTGGAACACAGAATAACATGACAAACAATATAAATTATTGTGTATGTATGCCATGGGGCATTTTGATTTTTGATTTTTATAATATTGCAGTTGAGAAGTTTTATCATATAAAAGTTTAGTTGATGTGTTTAACAACACATTGAACTTATTCTCTATTAATACTTTGAATATTTAATGATAAGTGAAACTATAACAACTGCTCTTTGGCTACATGGTATTGTGTGTTTCTTATTGCTGTTCAGCTAATAAGTTATAGTTATTACTTATTGTAAACCCCATTTACATCATTTGCGCTTAAGCATACAGTAGGAAGCACTTCAAGTGGAGAAGCACAGCATGCTTCAGCAAGGACATTCTATTCCAGGCAACTAGGTTACCTGCTCAGATATGTCCAAAATTACATGAACTCAGGTGATGATGTGTTGGTCACATTTTCTTGATTAATATCATGTTTTCAAAATTTTTGGCATTTTATTTATTTGGCATAGGTTCAGCCAGTTTTTTATAAATGTAAATATCATGACCACTGCCTACTTAATAAGTAGCAATCATTTAACTTTTATTTAGTAGTGACAGTTCATGTCAAACCAGTTCTAATGTGTGAGTACCAGCTTTATGGAATAAGGACCCATGTGTTGACTGGAAGGAATTTTGTTATTAATTTGAGTGACTATAGCACATAATTTACCATGTTCATGATTCTAAGCCTATATTAGGACCTACCAAATGGATAAAAAGTTTATAGCTTTTATCAACTATTAGGATCATTGATTTACTGTGGTTGGATTATTGATATACTGTATGTATCAGTTATCTACTTCCCATGGGAAGCTCATTGTTTTTTATGCAAAAATGCAAATTCTATTATGAAATCCTTTCTATGGGTTGGTGTAGATTTTCATATTGTTTTTCTAACTCTAGCTTGAGATTAGGGTATATGTGTGTTGTGTTAGTATGTAAGTAGAACTCAAGTACTGTAGTGGAACTTTGCTGACTTACTTTACCATCTCCAGCAAGACACAGTTAACATGTATATCTTGTCAACACTTGGTTTTAATATGACCATTTTGGTTTCCTTGTCACTTCTTATATAGATTAGTAGTGCAGTATTTGATGTTTCATAGTAAGTAATGGGTGGATTTATTCTTCTCTTTTTATTAACTATAGTATAATGATTGTGACGGAGACAGCATACTTTGGTTTTACTGATGTACTGAGAAACTTGTGGTACAGCAAATGTAAAGGATTAATACTTAACATTTTCAGTGTGATGAGTACAAGCTCTTTACAGCAATAGCTTGTTGATTAATTATATAAGTAAAGGTACCAGTAGTTTCCATAATATGCTTGAGTTTACATTTACTAGTATTGCCAACATATACAAAAAACTTGCCACATATTGTTAGATTAGTGATTTCATGTATTTACTTTAACAGTGGCTTTAGCAAGCCATTGATATGTAAGCATCTTTGTGATGTTCTTTGGTTATGCTGTGTATCTTCTTATTAGCAGCCATCACCTACCTGGGAACTACATTTTCTGTGTTCTGCTTGGTACACTTGGGATTTTCAGACAGTACATTACAAAACTGTCTTCTTATTCTTCTGCTCCAATATCATAGCTTCAAATTTTAATTGTTGTCATGTATTGAGCTGTAGGAATTTTAGCTTCGTAGTGTCCCAAAGTGAGGGTGCAGAGAAGTCACTTTGCTGTTTAGTTTTAAGTTTACAATAATGACCAGATGAACCATTATGAGCTCTTCAAATTATTCTTATTAACATATAATCCTTATAAGTAGAGGTTACCAAATAAGGATTGCTTATGAAAGGTTTGCACCCATGCTATTTTATTTTCTTCATATTGCTTTTCACAGTATAGGAGTGAAATTTTATTGTATTGTATATTGACAGTAATATAGGGAAATAAGAGCTGTTGATTATCCAAGTTGAGTTAAATGTAAATTGGGGATTAGGTCGACCCTTTTACAATATGGTGGAGTCTGTTTAAACTTTTCTTTTTCTACAAAAGCTACAGTAGTAAAATATGTGTTGCAGAAGTCTCTGGGTTCTAGATTTGTGAATCTGGATCTGCCTGGCAGTCACTGTGCAATAACTATGAAGCCTCAGAATGACTATTGTTGATAAACACCTCATGCCACTTTTTTTTACCTGAATTTTCCTGAACTTGGGTATCTATAAAATAGTTCAGCCAGTCTAATTCTCTTGGTCATGACTGGACTACACAAAGGTGTAACACTTGAAATTGAAGTCTAGAGTAGTTACAGGATTTGAATGGGGGTATAAAACTTTGTCAAGCCAGTATGTTAATTTTTGCATCAAAACCCTGGCAACTTTTCTAAACCCAATTTAAATCTCACAGTTACTCTAGATCCTAGGACTTGTGGTTTTTTGTTTTCAAATATGGTGGAAACCTAGCTCTGATAAGCTATTAAATGCTTAACCACAGCTATATAGCACCAATAAGACAACTGATGCTTACTCGCTAAACGTGACAAGACCCTAACAAGGTCTGCTAAGAGGGACCCTTGTCAGGATACACTTTTCTTTTCCCTAAAGAACACATCACCACCACCCAGATTTAAACTCTTAATATCAAGTTGAAGAACAATTGAGAAAAGTCAGTACTATATGCTATTGGTGTTCAAGTGCCAACAGAAATAAAGTAAAAGATTTTTGATTCGTGTTGTTCCTCCATGACCAAGCTGAGACCTTAAAGCCCCTCAATGGTGTCTGGTATGCAGCTGTTTTTGCCTGAACAAATCGTCAGAGGTCATTTATTCCAATTGGCTAGTATTTTCACAGCTGTCCTTCACATTGCAGCCATGTCTACATTGTCATTTGACCCTTGTAGGTTTAGCACTTTTTTATAATAATAATAATAATAATACATTGTCATTTGTATTTGTTTTGGACTCTTGAAGTGCATTACAGATTATCCAAAAATTCAACTCTCCTCATCCCATTTTCCCTCATATACAGTTTTGGTTATGTAACATTTCTAGTATATGTAAAGAAGGTTGTATTTTGCTGGGTCTCTTGACCTGCCGATGCTCAAGGCAGTGAATATGTAGAATCGGCCACTCTGTCAGCTGTTCAAGACCTTCCAATTTACATTGAATTCCTCACTTGAGTATTTTTTGGTTCTTTCTCACCACTCCCACAACCATTAGCAACAACGTTGGTCCCCGTTGGCCCACAAAAAATTGTTTTCTATCAACTTACATTTAGGATTCTGGCTATCTTCCCACTGTTGTCGGGTTTGGAAAACTGCACTCTTGCACTTATGTATTGCACACACATATCTCACTTGCAGATACCACACAAAGAAATGACCGCCACCTGTCTCCAAGGACTGTCAAGTTGTACTGTCCGTCCAACATATCTTAATAGTTTGTCCTGTCTATCATAGTACATGCAGGATCCACTTCTGACATCTAAACCCCTAACTTTGCACACCCCTACCCTTCACTCACTCTTAACCTTTGCACGTCTCTCCCCATAGCTCTGTATGACCCTTATGAGTTTAGTGCTTAAATTATAATAATAATAATAATAGTAATTAAAGTTGCAGCACAGTAGTTAAAAGGATCCAGGAATAAATCCTAGAAGTACTGAAGATTTAGTAACACATTCACCATTTTCTAAGATTCACCATCCTCATTTAATAGCTGTTTTACCAGAATTGGCCAAATATAAAAATTAAAATGACTCTCCGAACTGCATAACACCTTCCCATCCTACACAGTGTAGGCAATGTACTTTTCTCACCTCCAGAACTTTAAATCCAGCAGATGGGTGTCTCAATCCCTTCATAAATGTTACCTTGCTCACACTCTGACAGCACATCAGTTCCCCAAAAAATCATCCACTCACACCACTAACATTCATGGGAGAGTACTAAACCCACGAGGTCATACAGATGCCACTCAAACATCTAGCTGTGCTTTCAGTGATTCAGCTCCAACATATGGGCCCCCACATCATAACCTATAATTAACCCCTGTGATTTATTTCCCTGTTGCTTTCCAGTGCATTCCATGAGCTTTATCCTGAAGAAGCTCCTCCTTATGAATCCTAAGATCATTTATCTGGAAGAACAGGCACTCAAGAATAACATAATTGCAAGTAATTATCATCTTTAGTTTTTGCTTGTGTCCCCAGCATTCTAGTTCCATCCCTGTGTGTATATGTACTACTGCAATCCTAATATTTCACTTAGAGGCAGCTCTGTTTTAAAGAGTAGCATTTGCAGTTTTAAAAATTGTCATTAGAAATTTCCTTTTGGCTGATAAACATTGTACAAAAGCTCATAATTGTTAATTTTGTCATGATTTTTGAGAGACCAGAGCAGCTACCAGGTGTAATTCAGTCTTCATTGTGGGGTAGGGCACATAACCTCTGTTTTTTAACAGGTTGTACAGGTATTTTGACACAGTATATTATTATTATTATAATCAAAAAGAAGCGCTAAGCCACAAGGGCTATACAGCAACACAGTATATTGCAATAAAAATATTGCATTATTCTATGCATCAAAATTGTATAATGCAGTAAAGATACTCATTAACATGATGAATTATGTATTGATAATTTACACTTGATTTTTATGAATGTATCATACCATTGACATATTTTAGTATTATCTGTTCACTGAAAGATAATTTTATTAAAATTTGGTTTATGCTATTTTCTTTTAGAATATTATGAACATTCTGGTGGTCTTGTAGGTAAGTGCCTCCCTTTGTAAATTTGAGCTAAGCTTCCAGGCCAGATGTGAAAATTTTATAATTGTGCATTAATTGTGTGTATGTAACTCATCTTGGTTATGTGATGTTGAAACTTCCTCAGAATGTAACAGCACAACTATCATGTCAGAGACAAATTTAAGAGGTGAATGTTCCTGGTAGCAAATCTGGTGCGGTGGTTAGGGTCTCACAGTGAGAAGTTCAGTGAAGCTGTCCATGCCATCTCAGTAGTCTGCCTCTATATTAGTTTTAAGTATTGGACCGTTTTATGTCCTTAAAAAATTTGGCTCTATTTTGGAGCAGATTATGGAATCCACTTCTCTGTTTTAGGAGGGCTTATAATACATCAAGCAAGAATGAAGTATGGATAAAAGAATGCTTGTATCTAAGCACTTCTTGATACCCATAAAATTCAGCTCCCTGCTGTATTTAGATTTTTTTATTGTAGTAATAAGATATATTTGATATATATAAAATTATAAAGAAAAATGGCAAGGTTATTAAGTAAATAACAATGTGTAAAGGGTTGTAATTTGAGTGCTTTTGCTCCATCCATGTTGCAGTGCACAATTGTGTGCAATTATTGGCATGTGTGTATATTTGGCCAGCAATACTAGTCAACCATTTTCCATACAAGGTCATCCCAAATAATACAAAATTATTTGCCGATTAATTTGTACTATATGTATGTGTGTATACATACATACATATTATACAGTGGACCCCCGCATAACGATTACCTCCGAATGCGACCAATTATGTAAGTGTATTTATGTAAGTGCGTTTGTACGTGTATGTTTGGGGGTCTGAAATGGACTAATCTACTTCACAATATTCCTTATGGGAATAAATTCAGTCAGTACTGGCACCTGAACATACTTATGGAGTGAAAAAATATCGTTAACCGGGGGTCCACTGTGTATATATATATATATATATATATATATATGTAGGTAGTAGGTTGGTAGACAGCAACCACCCAGGGAGGTACTACCGTCCTGCCAAGTGAGTGTAAAACGAAAGCCTGTAATTGTTTTACATGATGGTAGGATTGCTGGTGTCCTTTTTTCTGTCTCATGAACATGCAAGATTTCAGGTACGTCTTGCTACTTCTACTTACACTTAGGTCACACTACACATACATGTACAAGCACATATATACACACCCCTCTGGGTTTTCTTCTATTTTCTTTCTAGTTCTTATTCTTGTTTATTTCCTCTTATCTCCATGGGGAAGTGGAACAGAATTCTTCCTCCGTAAGCCATGCGTGTTGTAAGAGGCGACTAAAATGCCGGGAGCAAGGGGCTAGTAACCTCTTCTCCTGTATATATTACTAAATGTAAAAGGAGAAACTTTCGTTTTTCCTTTTGGGCCACCCCGCCTCGGTGGGATACGGCCGGTGTGTTGAAAGAAAGAAGAAGATATATATATATATATATATTTTATATATATATTTATATATATGTATATATATAATATATAAATAAAATGCCAGGAGCAAGGGCCTAGTGACCCCCTTCTCCTGTATAAATTACTAAATTTAAAAAGAGAAACTTTCGTTTTTCTTTTTTGGGCCACCCTGCCTTGTTGGGATACGGCAAGCGTGCGTGAGCGTGTTAGATAGGAGTGAATGGAGACGAATGGTACTTGGGACCTGACGATCTGTTGGAGTGTGAGCAGGTAATATTTAGTGAAGGGATTCAGGGAAACCGGCTATTTTCATATAGTCGGACTTGAGTCCTGGAAATGGGAAGTACAATGCCTGCACTTTTGAAGGAGGGGTTTGGGATATTGGCAGTTTGGAGGGATATGTTGTGTATCTTTATACGTATATGCTTACCATACCCCCGGCCGGGATTGAACCCGCGGTCATAGAGTCTCAAAACTCTATGACCGCGGGTTCAATCCCGGCCGGGGGTATGGTTTGTTTGCAATCGTGTCATTACAATTTCTTGAGTCACGTATATGCTTCTAAGCTGTTGTATTCTGAGCACCTCTGCAAAAACAGTGATAATGTGTGAGTGTGGTGAAAGTGTTGAATGATGATGAAAGTATTTTCTTTTTGGGAATTTTCTTTCTTTTTTGGGTCACCCTCCCTCGGTGGGAAACGGCCGACTTGTTGAAAAAAAATATATATATAATTATATAATACGTATATATATATACACGTATATATGTATATATGAGGTGGTTTGGTCATTTAGAGAGAATGGATCAAAGTAGAATGACATGGAAAGCATATAAATCTATAGGGAAGGAAGGCAGGGTAGGGGTCATCCTCGAAAGGGTTGGAGAGAGGGGGTAAAGGAGGTTTTGTGGGTAAGGGGCTTGGACTTCCAGCAAGCGTGCGTGAGCGTGTTAGATAGGAGTGAATGGAGACGAATGGTACTTGGGACCTGACGATCTGTTGGAGTGTGAGCAGGGTAATATTTAGTGAAGGGATTCAGGGAAACCGGTTATTTTCATATAGTCGGACTTGAGTCCTGGAAATGGGAAGTACAATGCCTGCACTTTAAAGGAGGGGTTTGGGATATTGGCAGTTTGGAGGGATATGTTGTGTATCTTTATATGTGTATGCTTCTAGACTGTTGTATTCTGAGCACCTCTGCAAAAACAGTGATAATGTGCGAGTGTGGTGAAAGTAGTTTAATGATGATGAAAGTATTTTTCTTTTTGGGGATTTTCTTTCTTTTTTTGGTCACCCTGCCTCGGTGGGAGACGGCCGACTTGTTAAAAAAAAAAAAAAAAAAAAAATGTATTATATATATATATATATATATATATATATATATATAATATATATTATATATAAATATATATATATATATTATATATATATACACGTATATATGTATGTATATATATATATATATATATAATAATATATATATATATATATATATATATATATATATATATATATATATATATATATATTCTTTCAACACACTGGCCGTATCCCACCGAGGCGGGGTGGCCCAAAAGGAAAAACGAAAGTTTCTCCTTTTACATTTAGTAATATGTACAGCAGAAGAGGTTACCAGCCCCTTGCTCCCAGCATTTTAGTCGCCTCTTACAACACGCATGGCTTACGGGAGGAAGAATTCTGTTCCACTTCCCCATGGAGATAAGAGGAAATAAACAAGAACATGAACTAGAAAGAAAATAGAAGAAAACCCAGAGGGGTGTGTATATATATGCTTGTACATGTATGTGTAGTGTGACCTAGATGTAAGAAGAAGTAGCAAGACATACTTGAAATCTTGCATGTTCATGAGACAGAAAAAAGACACCAGCAATCCTACCATCATGTGAAACAATTACAAGCTTTCGTTTTACACTCACTTGGCAAGACGGCAGTACTTCCCTGAGTGGTTGCTGTCTACCAACCTATTACCTAGATTTATATTTTATATATATATACACACATACACACAATATGGCTCTTGATGCCAGGAGTGGACTTGGTAGTGGCCAACGAAGAGGTGGAGCCAGGAGCTGTGACTCAACCCTTGTAACCACATATAAGTGATTAGGCGAACACACACACACACCCAAACCCCAACACACCCACCCTCTCCTCTCCCCCATAGGCAGTTTCCCACTAGTAACTCAAAGAATAAAATACATTCATCATCATTCTTTCATCAGTTCTCTTGCCAGTTTGAAAACACAATTCAGAATGACCTAAGCTGCAACATCCCCACCCATACCTCAAAGTGCAAGCACTGTACTTCCTACCTCCAGAACTTGAGCCCAGCCAAAAAAAAAAATGATAGTTTTGAAGCTGGATGGCTTAATTATGCATGGATTTGGATTGAGCATGGCTCTCGAGAAAGAACTGATTAATAATGTTCTGTATGAAAGGAAGTTGGGTATGCTAGCACCTAGTAAAACAAGAGTTGAAGAAAAGGTGGGAGAGTGATTAGAAGGTACAGGGATTGTGACAGGTGTATATAAGTAAACAAGACCTAAAGGACAACTAGCAGTAATGTAACATGCACAGCCATAGAAAGAAAAGAGATGGATAGAATAGAATGACCCTAATGGATTTAATCTTTTCCATGAATAGAATAATTGTGAGTAAAAGAGACACATGCTTCATTAACAGATAGCATTTCACTTGGAAACCAAACCTCATCAAGTAAAATTTGATAAAACATTGTGAAAGCAAAACATTTCCAAATACAGATTTTGATACTGTTATTTGTGTCTTTTTACTTTAACTATGTTGGTATTTTATACCACATGTACCCATAATAATTAGAATAAAAGTGATAGATAAATAATAGTGGATATTAACGTATGGGGACAGTTGATGATATGAGCAACTTGTGGGAGAAAAATGGTATAGGAAGTGGTGAGGAGGTATGTTGGTAATATAAGCATACAGTACTCACCTAATTGTGGTTGCAGGGGTCGAGACATAGCTCCTGGCCTTGCATAATGTGCTAATGTACAGATGTTTGTGATTATAAGAAGTGTGGTTGTGTGGCAAGGAGAGGAATAATTAGTGAAATGAAGTGAAAATGGGTTGCAAGATACAAAAATTGTATGAAAATTGTTTATAATCTAAGAATGCTACAAGGAAGATAGAGTATATGGGGAGGGAGAGCAGTTATAAGAGAGAGGACAGAAAACAAGAGAAATTGGAAGTTTTTATTAACAGATTTTGCTAAGAAGCGGCAGTTTTTGGAGACTGGTGAGGATGTTAAATTTGTGATGTCTGTGCTCGTCTGGAAAGAACTAGAAAATGAGAGATAGTGCAGTTAAAGAATTTTCTTTCTGCGAGCCACCCTGCTTTAATGAGGAATAACCAGTGTTAAAAATATATTACTATTCTGAAATATGAAAAACATTTTTGAAGGGTTCTGTAAACAAATTATGAACACCGTCCCTCAGTTAACAACTTTTCTACTAGTCTAGGATTTCCCTGTCGTTTCTAGTTCAGAATACCTGCTGCCCATTTTCTACATAAAATTAGATCACTGCAGTAGGCCTACTGGCCCAGCAGGGAAGGTCCTCAAATACATCCTTTCTCATAAATATATCTAACCTATATTTAAACCTACCAAAGGTGTTAGCTTTGATGACTACTTGGCAGATTATTTTACTCAGTTCTAATGCTAAACCAGTACTTTCCTACATCCCTTCTAAATCTAAATTTATCTAACTTTAATTCATTATTTTGAGTTCCTTCTTGGTTAGCCGTCTTCATTTTTTTTTTTTTTTTTTATTATATCACCTTTATTCAATGTCCTCAACTTACTGGTACTTCAGTCTAATCTTTCCTTATTCTCCATCTTTCAGGAGTGTAGGTTCAGGGTTCTCAATCTGCCTTCTGTATTTTCTCCATATCTTTTCTGTAGCATAGACCAAAACTCCACTGCAGGGATCAAGCAAATAACCAGAGTAGAAATTCCGACTTGGGAGGTCGAGGTCTCCCTGGTTCATTCTCTATAAAATAGATTTTTATACTTCAGAAATAAAATTCATTGTATGCTTTCTGAGGAACCATGGAATTGTCCCAACAGTACAAATTGTAACAAAAAACTCATAAATTGTTTGCTGGCCCCTTAATAACCAAACTACTCGGTAGCAACGATGACTAAATTTTGTATATATGTTTATAAAGTTCTGGTCATATCTTGCAAGTGAATTATTTAATGATGTAGAAGTCAAGAATAAAATTCATGATACAATGGCATGAAAAGAAATAATTATGATGTGTGAAGGTTCAGAAGGGTAGGAAGATATGCCGTAGACCCTGATAACTAGTGCAGACTTGTAACCAGCCTTAGTGTTGTCTATGTTGAGGAGCAAATGGGTAGAATTAGCCTCAGAGGTAATGGTTACCAACTGGCTTCTGGCTGTCTGAACCTTTCTGTAGGAACTGGGAATGAGATAAAGGAACGGCAGGAGATATAGTGTGATAAAAGTGATAGGGAAGTACAGTACTAGACTTGGGAAAAGATAGGCATTCGATGACTTGTGGTATTCCTTAGTGGTTCATCAGAACTTGTACACAGAGCCATACTGTGTGTGTGTAATGGTTTTTAGGTAAAGTTGGTCAAACATCCAAATTGTCCTAAGACTAGATGTTTCCAAAAAATTACTGTGTTGATAAATACTGTACACAGTATTTCTGTGAATAGTCATTATATACAAAATTTTTAATTTTGCATCCTAACATAACTGTTCTCTCTTAGGTCAGTATAAATTTAGCATCAATTAACACCAAAGAAATACACAATTTTGTACTCTGGCTGATTTTCACAGTTATTGAAAAAAAATTTAAATTGGCAAAATGATTATTAGCTTTTATGATGAGGCAAAGTTCCTGCCAAAAATGGGTATTATATATACAGTATACACAATATATAGTTGCATGGCAAGCATGAAAATCATGTGAAGCATAGTATGTAAACAGATACCCATCACAGAGAATTTAAGCATGAGATTGAACATTTTTGAAGATGTATAGTTTAATATAATATACATGAAAGTGCTCAGTCTCACATTTTTTCTTCATGGTCATCTGTTGTCCCATCCTATGCATATACGTGTGTTTCTACAAAGGATATGTCCCTAATAAATTAATTCAGTGAATTCATGAATCATTAGCACATTAAAGTATTAATATATGTAACCCAAAATACAACTACAGATGAGAAAATTCTTGTGCTGTTCAGATGTACTAGTTGATGGCCATTATTTTCTGCAATGTACTGTACAGTACTTAGAAATATTTGGAGGTATAATGTAAAGAATACTAGAGCTATAAGTGGAGACCATTTACAAAACGTGATATATTGACAGGTTGGCAGCACTATAGTGGCAGGACAGCTCTCTTCCTGATGTTAGCATGTTGCACATGTACTATTACGATTATATTAATCAATACTGTCATGTATTTTGCCCATCAATAAATAACTCATGTCAATTTTGATGTTTTGTTTATTTTGCCTTTAGATTACACTATTTTTTTGACAGGAATGATTTATTTTATTTTATTATCACACTGGCTCATTCCCACCAAAGCAGGGTGGCCCGAAAAAGAAAAACTTTCACCATCATTTACTCCATCACTGTCTTGCCAGAAGGGTGCTTTACACTACAGTTTTTAAACTGCAACATTAACACCCCTCCTTCAGAGTGCAGGCACTGTACTTCCCATCTCCAGGACTCAAGTCCGGCCTGCCGGTTTCCCTGAACCCCTTCATAAATGTTACTTTGCTCACACTCCAACAGCACGTCAAGTATTAACCCTTTGAGGGTTTTCGTCGTACTAGTACGTCTTACGCGTAGGGGTTTTTGACGTACTAGTACTCAAATTCTAGCGGCCTCAAATCTAGTGGGAGAAAGCTGGTAGGCCTTCATATGAAAGAATGGGTCTATGTGGTCAGTGTGCAGTCTAAAAAAAATCCTGCAGCACACAGTGCATAATGAGAAAAAAAAAACTGACCATTTTTTTTTAATAAATCACCGACTTTGCAGTGTATTTTCGTATGGTATTTATTGTTGTATTCTAGTTTTCATGGTCTCATTTTATAGAATGGAAGACATACTACAGAAATTGCGATGATTTTGACTGGTTTTACAAAGAAAGGTGCCTTGAAATTGAGCTCAAAGT